ACAAGAATTAAAGCCAGTCCCAAATTCTACACTTGATCTTAGCCAAAAGGCTAAGAAGCGATTGCCAAGTTCTAAATACTGGGCGAGGTGCATTCCTCTGTGTCTCCCTCTCTAGTGAGTGATGCTGCCAGATTCTGTGTAGGTGGATTTCAGAACATAAAAGGGAAGCAGGGGACTGGAGAGAAGGAAAATGTTAGTGAACTGTAGCCAAGATAGAAAAGGGGAAGACTCACCCTTCCATGGGTACTGGCAGTCGTTGGTCTTAGTTCTAGTCATGCTGACTGGCTGCCTTATAAGAGCAGCAGGAGCCTTACTGCTGGGAAAGGTAAGAGCTGAGGGAGACCCAGAAAACCAAAGGAGTGTGCATTCCTGCAGTCCTCCCATAGCACACTTGAAGGGGCCTTGAAGACAAACTCCTGCAATCCTATCTCTCCAACCATGTGTCTAGGTAAAAAGTGCATGCAAACATGCAGTCTCCAGTCTGCTGTCTTAATCGACCTGTCATCGTGAGTAATAATCATACCTTGGAAAACAGCAGAGTGACTCAAAAAGCTGCCCCCTCCCCCACCACAACTGCCTGGCACAGCTCAGAGCGTTGCTGAGAACCCCAGAAAGTGAAGCCACCATTTTCTCCTGCCCGTCAGCATTTTCTCCTTGCCCGTCAGCTCTTTCAACACTTTGGATGACCATTCAGACTCCTGTGTGTGATGGGCAGTTGGAGAAGTCTCTTTGCTGGTTAAAGAGCTAATTAGGCCTGGCTGGTCATCAGACACAGTGATTTGGGGATGGGGGAGGGGGGCAAGAAGCAAATACTGTTGTCTACAGGATGAGTGTCCATGAGACACGCTCATGAGAAGCCTGTCCCTCAGAAGATGGCCTTTTTCCTCAGGGGGGAAAAAAAAGTGCTTCCCCATCAGCTCAGATTGACCATAAGTATAAAAATATAATGAATGCCTACTGTGTGCTGCCTGTTAAAGGACTGAATATTTTATGTACAGACAAGGCTATTATTAAGCTGGTGCATGCGGCCAACTAGGATGTTAAACACTGGCATAGTCTATAGGAGTTGGTCAGTGTCTGCCATGCCAGCTTCCTGACTGCCTGGCTCCTCCATCCCCAGGGGTCTCGCTGATCCTGCTCAGGACAGTGGCTAGTGTCAGTTCTGTTAGATCCTTGCCCATGCTTTCGTGGCTGTTCATATTTTGAACTTGACTCCTGGTATACTATCCCACTCCATTCTCACACAGAGCCCTGTTAGCATCTCTGTCTTACAGATGAGGAAGATGGGACACAGTGACTTGCCTAAGTTCACACAATGAGTCCGGAGCTGGAGCTGGAACCCAGACCACCGACCAAGTGCAGGCACTTGACCACCAGACCACCAACCATGCTCGTTCGCAGAGACAGCATGCTCCTCCCCCTTTACCATGGCACTGAAGCAGAGTCTAAGAGAAACTCTTGATCACCAAGCCAACAAGAACTTCTCTTAATTACCACACTTCCAGCCCTAGCATGACAGCAGCTGTGTATCTGTGACCACCTCAGAGCGCCATTCTCCTGGAGCCCATAACTCCTAGGCAGGGGGTCTCTAGGGGCTGGGAGACCTATGACATGGGGTCCACTCCAGGTATGCCTCTCCTCTCCCCACCTCCCCATCAACTGTACTTGTCTTAGCAGTCTTCAGGACACATGGAGCTGTGGCCATCACCATGGAGGGCTAGGGGCTAAGAGACATGTTTTTCCCAGGGTCTAAGATGGGAAAGGGCAAAGCCGCAGTAGGAAGATTAAGGCTGACAGGGGTAGGAGTCTGTGTTCATGGAGTATATATGAGGCTGGGACAGTGGCACTTAAGTGCTCAGTCTCTGAGGGTCTTCTTTAAGCTGGACACTGCTGAGTGTAGGTCCATCCTGGCTAGATTTAGGGATGAATAATGTCCCCTGAAAGACCTGTTTGGTCCCAGAACTGCACCCACTCAGCCGTCACTAGATGTGGAATGCTACTGCCTTTAATGCCCTATTAGATGTGTCCCCTATGCCCCTGCAAGGATTGTATGGTCAAATTTAAGGAATGCCAATTATCCCAGTGATACAGGCATCTTTTCTGCAGGACTTATAACCTTAGTGCAAATATGGATGACATATTTCTGAGAGTATTCATTTGAATGTTTCCCCAATGGAACATCTATAACTATGGCATAGAGCTTCTCTGGATACTCTTTGGCAAATGCTGCTCTAAAGAGCTGGTGACAAAATGCTTATCACTGGGCGAGGGGTGGGGAGATTTCGCCACTAGAAAGAGGGACCATTTTTAACCCAGCAGTTCCCACGAGGGAAACACACTTTCCATTTCCTCTTTCTCTCACCAAATTCTTAACTGCCCCCAGGTTCCCTTTTAGGAGGCCTCTAATTTGCTTGTACAAATGCTCCCATTAAAGTCAAAACATAGTACGCAAGGACCTTTATTTCATCTACCCCTGAGCTCTATTTCTCTAATAAGGTCCTCATTATAAAAATGAGAATAATGACAGCCAAATTTTATGGCACACTTGTCTGTGCCAGGCACTGTCCTGGGTGTTTTATATGGGGTATCTCTTTCAGTTCATTCATTCACACTCCCTTCAGCTGACTCTGCTTTGAGCTATCCCCTCTCCCCTACCCACTGCCCCCCAACAGCGGGGCTGGACATCTCCTCCCTGTGAAGCAGGTCCTATGGGAAGGAAACGGCAAAGCTGAAAAAGTGATTCAGGCTCTCCCTCTCTGCACAGGAGCTAACCTACTCTCTCACTAGAGGCAGCCCCCACCACCACCACCACCACCATGTATCCCCTCAGGACCTCTGAGTGCTCAAGAAATGGAAATGGAAATAAATGAACCCCACGCACTTTGTGTATGCTACTTTGGTGACCTTGAGAAGGTGTTATAGAAATATCTACCACTTCTTCTTTTGCCCTCACTAGGCAATCTACGTACATTATCACAGATCCTCCCAACAACCTGGACAAATAGACATTCTTATCCTCATTTCAGAAAAGAGATTCTGGACTCAGAAAAGCTAAGCGGTTTATATGACGCCTCACAGCAGTCAAGTGGCCAGGCTGGAATTTGAGTCCAGATCCAATCCAAAGCCCGATGTCTTTCTGAGTTACCATCATCCTTCAGCTATGGAGAAGAACAAACTGACCAAAGAATTAACACTATTTTTTGTTTGATTTTAAGAAATAACATTGTTAGTCAATGGAGAAGCCCCAGACTGGAACTCAAGAGGATTGGTTATAAGGTAAATCTGTCCGGAGACTGTTCTCTGGCCCCTGGGTTCTACCCATCCTTTGATTGCCAACATGGTAACACCCTCAGCTTTCTCCTAGAGAAGACTTGCCCAATAAAATATCAGTCACCCAGCTCAACTTGAGTTTCAGATAAACAATGAATGATGTCTAAGTATAAGTACATCCCAAATATTGCATGGTACATACTTATAGTTGAACAATATCCATTGCCCCAGCAGGACATTCTGCATTCATTCATTCATTCATTCACTCATTCATTTGATAAGCATCTACCTGAGGCCAAGCCGGGTATGGGGAGACAAGAGTACAAGTGACCCAGTCCCTGCTCCCCAGAGCAATAGGGGGGGAGGGAGCATGGATGGGAAGGGGCAGGGGTGAAATTCAAATCTGAGTGCTCTGTATTTTTATTTGCTAAATCTGGCAACCCCACCCTAGAATGGAAGGCACGTTAGGAAGTCTCACGCCTGGCTTCAGGTCCCTAGTGTTGCTCCAACAGGAGTTGCCATGGCAGCCTAAGCAGGCTGTTCTGGAGCTGTCTCCACTTACCTCTCCAGCTTCACCTCACCCCTGCGCTCTCTAAGCACTAAACACTCTGAGCTACTTTCAGTTTCCTTGGATGCATTATGCTGCTCCTGGCTTACAGTCTTAGCACTTGCTATATTGTGTGCCTGTTCCCCTTCTTCCTCTCCCTGGCTAATTCCTCTTGACCTTCAAGGTCTACATGTAGTATCACTTCTGCCAGGAAGCCTTACTGGGGTGCATCCCAACCATCTCCTCCCAAAACCCTCCAGCACTGGGTTAGTTAGCAGATCATGCCATACCAACTGCCCCAGTCAGCTCAAGTCCCACTACAAGTCAGTGGAAAGCTCCTCCTCTGAATTACAGACCTCCAAATGCTCCCTTGGTGTCCAAACTTCAGCTCTCCTTCTCCCCTGACCCTTGAAAGGAGTCTAATTAGATTGAGCTCCAAGTCTGGGGTGTGGGGAGATGCCAGTGTCAGATGGCTGAGGGTTAGGGCAGGTGGTGGGGCTCGGTGGGCTCAGAACATCACCCATATGTTCCCTGTTCACCCACCCAAGGCTTTGCCCACGCACAGCCTGACAGCACAGGAGAAGGCAGCACAGAATTTAACCCTTTCGTGGCATTCAAAAGGTAGTTCCACAAAGAACCAGTAAGGTGGTTAGTGTTAACTTTAGTCCCCACAGCACACACACACACCCCGCAGCTCTGCCTACTCCCCCTTGCAGACCCCTGCTTGCTTCCAGTCAGGGCTTGATTCAGAAGACGCCCTCTCAGGGGACAAGAAGTGGGTGCAGGCCCAGCGGGGTGTGCACGGGAGCCTGAGCAGGGCGGGGGTGTGCAGGGCATGGGGAGAGGGGGGAGAGCAGGGCACGGGGAGCTGCTGAAAGGCAGGATTCTGAAAAGCCCTGCTTGTTGCTCTCTGATCTGACCTTTAGGGGCAGGTGGGCTCCCTGTGCCGCCTCCTCAGCGCCCCCCAGCCTGCCCCGCCTGAGTGCGTCAGGAGGAAGAAGAGAGAGAAACACCCTTCGGTCTCAGACTAACTCCAAACGCTGACTCCCTCCCCCCTGCCGTAGGCCGGCGGCCGAGGACACCGCGCCCGCAGCTCCGCCTGCTGGGTCCGAGGCTGCCTCACCGGGAACGCGGTCTCGTCCACGTACCCACAATCCCCAAAGCACCCCGCCATCCCTTCTACCTCGTCCAGCCGCCAACTTCTGGCTGGTGCTGAGCCGGGCTCGGATCGGATCGCGGGAGGGGACTCACGCGCAGGGAAGCGCCACTCGGGCGGTGGCTCTCTGCGCGCCAGGTGAGGTGGGGGCTGGGCAGGTACAGGTGAGTCGGGCCGTGGCAGGTACCCGGCTCGCGGCGGCGCCGGCCTCGGCTGGGTAGGAGGGCTGACAGGTTCGTGTTTTCCCCTCTCCTCCTTCTAGTTAACCACACCCCTGCTGCTCTCCTCCCCACTTCCTTAAAGGGTGGGGTGTGTTGTCCCCGGTGCTGAGTGTGTGCCTGCTCCAGCCTCTTACCATAAACTCTGAAATAGACCCGCCTTCCATTCCCTAGAGGCATGTGCTCACCTCGGGGGGCCATTTCTGCCATCCCCGGACCTCAGATGGGGTCCTCTGCTGTTACGGGCCTCCCTGGGAGCATTTGCCCCCCTATTTCCTACCACTTCTCCCTCCTCCTTCCATTCCACCTGCAGACTTTTAGAGGCCACACTTAGAGGTGGCTGGTTCCTCTCTAGCCTCCAGGCATATTTCAGAGCTGGAGACTGTACCTGCCTCCCATACTCTCAGTAACTGTGTCCCCCCCTGTTTCTCTATGTCCTAAAGTGCCCAGCCCTTTTTCAGGGCACCAGAAATCAGGTGAATATCACCAGGGTCTTTGGCAGAACTCAACACCACAGACCAGGTCCCTGTGCTGTGATAGAGCAGGACTGAAGAGTGGCACAAGAATGTCCTAGAAGCTGAGCAGCCTTTTCCTGCCCCGCCCACCCGTTTCTACATTGTCCCATTTCATTGACAAAATAAAGAGGGTGCTTCACCTCTTTACTCGGGTCAGGAGGGCAGTGAGATTCAAGGTAGTCACTCAAGGGCACTTAGCAACCCTTCCCCCCCTCACTAGAAAGATTCCATACTTTCTTCTGAGTAGAAAGAGAACTGGACTTAGCATAAGGTCAAAAGTTGGTGCGCATTCAGTGCACTCCACTTCCTTAAAGTTCCTCTCCAGGGTCCCCACCCCAAACTTCTTCATGCTGTGTCCTATGAAGTATTGGGGTGTGACACTTTCTGGAGGATGCTCCTCATAAGGTCAGCTCTGAGGATGGCAGACATGTGTGACAGCTCAGCATACACAACCGCCTCCATGACACTTCCTGACCTCCATCCCCAAAGCCAGCGGATCAGCCACCCAGGACAAGAACAGGAAATGCAGCATTTGGTGAGCATGTCATTGCCAACCACTGTGGTAAGGAAGCACTCAATTTACATGATTTTATTTAATTCTCCCCATTTTCTGCAAAGAAAACGGAGACTTAGCTAAGTTAACACATCTAAGGCCACAAAGCCAGAAAGTCAATGTTTCTCAAAGTATGATCAGTGGACTACCTGTAGCTTTGAAATGAAGATACCTGGAGGCCACTCCAGGTCTATGGAAAATCAGAATCACTGATTCTGGGGCCCACCTGCCCCAAGAAGGCAATTTACAAACTATCTGATGGGAGCTCACAGGCATGACTGCCCCTTGTTCACCCATCCATTGTGTTCCCGGCACTCATTTGGAATCTTGGAGGTAATGCTGGTGACTGCATAGCAGTCAGAAGGCAGCCAAGTGGGTGTCCAGGGAGATGTTGGCTAGGGCTTGAGGAGACAAGGCAAGTCAGACAGAATAAACTGGAGTGAGCCCGGAAAGTGTGCGAGAGACAGGTGGCTAACTGACCACACTGTAAGGAAATTGTCAGATGGCTTCAGAAAGTGGGTGTCCCCTCCATATTCTTGTGCGTGGAATGAGGTGATGAAGGCATAGTGGTGTGAAGGTTAGACACCTGTGTGAATTATTCAGGGTCTGTGCTAGGGTGGTGACAGTGGAAACTGAGTGCACAAGGACTCCAGCAGGGTTTAAGAAAAGGTGAGTGTGTGTATGCTGCCCCTGTGTGACCAAATCTATGAACTACCACCTCATTGGGCCTTGATTTGAGAAAGAAACATTTTCCGGTATTCAAATTTTTCAGCGGTTGTCAAAATCTTCAGCGATTTTTTTAAGCTCCAAAACCTAGCTCCTAGAATTGTAGAATTATTGGTTTTATGCATGAAAGACACCTTGAGAAACACCCTGGGATAGCCAACTCCGCCTTCAGGTCTCATGTTTTGTCCAGTGTAGAAGCCAAAATGATAGCATCACATATGTCTGCCTGTTACCTGCCTTTAAAAACAGCTTGTCAGAGCCCGGCCGGAGTGGCTCAGTTGGTTGAGTGTCATCCTATGCACTGAAAGGTTGCCAGTTTGATTCCTGGTCAGGACACATACAGTTCAATAACTATTTCTCTCCCTCCCCCTTCCTCTCTCTAAATATGTCCTCAGCTGAGGATTAAAAACAACAACCTGTCAGAAATGCTTTCAAGAGTCTGGGATTCTATGTACATGTTCTAAAAATTTTTTATCAATGGCTCATTGTGGGTTGGGATAGTGACCTGCCCCAGTGGAGAAGCAAAATGATTTCCCTTCTGTCCACCCTTGTCTATGTCTCCAGCAGCGACGGTGCTACTTGGAAGTGGGGGGGGGGAATGTGTGGCTGGTTCAGCAGGAGAAACCTGTAAGGAAAACAAGACTAACTTTCCCATTTAAATGTTCCATACTTACCCCAGATTCAGGTCTTTAACTGTGTATGATATTGCTCCCCAAACAGACCCCCTTCCAGTCTTCCCCATGAGTATCAACATTATCCCAGGCACCAAATGCTAAAATCTTAGCCACTTTTGACCATTCCTTCTCCTTCATTACCCCATAGCCATTCAATCTCCAAGTCCTGGGAATCCTTCCCAGCACCTTTTCTACTCATCATTCCATTTCTAGTCCTAGTTCTCTCTGGTTCATGGTCCTTTGTCTTACACCAGACTCTTGCGGAAAGGGTTCTCCTAACCTGTCCTCCACTCTCACCCCAAGGGTAGTTGGGACTGGAGCTCTGAAAAGTGGTCTGAGCTGGTGATGAACTTCTGGGTTGGCATCTGAAACCACAGGAATGGATGAGATTTCTGAGGTGGGCATAAGAAGGAGCAGAGACCTTAAGGTCACACTCTTGCCAAAAGCAAATTTAATGAAGAGGCAAAAGTCAAACGGGGCAGGTAGATGAGTAAATTGGAAGTGAAGACATGGAGGCAGCATGTGCAAATAACCTTCGAAAAGCCTGGCTGAAAGGGGGGTTGGGGAGGTGGAGGAGGTTGTGAGTTGAAAGAGGGTGGTTTGGCCATTTGTTTAACACGGTAGTCAGTGGAACAGGTTTAAATGCACCTGGGATGGACCCAGTTAAGAGAGAAGACATGGCCTTGGACAAGCAAATCCATCTCTCTGAGCTTGTATTTCCTAATCTAGGAAAGTAGAAGCATAAGTATTAGCTGCTCTACATATTTCACAGGGTACTATGATGCCCAAATTAAGTGATAGGTATGAAAATGCTATAAAATGCTGTAATTAGTTTTTTTTGTTATCATGATTATATTTTATATATATATAAAAT